AAGGGGGAGGGGGGATTGTGTGTTTGTGTGCGTGCCCGCGTGCCCGGGACAGCCCCCAGGGCCGGTCGTGGGTGGCCGTGCCCTGCGCTGATTCCTGGTGTCGGTTGCGGGTCCTTCCCTGAGGAGGGGGAGGGGGAGAGGGAGAGCAGGTACCGTGATGGAGCCGGTGGCCGGCCTGGCCTTGCGTTTTGGGAGAAGGGGTAGTGACCCTCCCCTCCCTCCCTCCGCCCCCCGCGCAGCAGCTCCTGAAGGACGGTGGAAAGGCGAGTCGGCTGAATCTGAATTGCAGACGGTTCAGGAGCGAGCGGATCAGGTGGCCTCAGGATGCGCCTGTTGGCTGCGCGGTCTTTGTGCCTGCACCTGGTGCTTGCACTGATTTAGCATGTAGGCATATGATTCCAGTGCAAACCCTGCTGACTGACTCATCCCGTCTTTTTGCCTCTTGCTGTTTCTGCCTAGATATAAATATCTCTCATTCATCGCCGTAGTAACTGAGTAGCTTACGCTGCACTCTGAGAGACCTGCTCATCTGTTTCGTTCCTGTATTTGCACGGTGCTTTGGAAACTTGCAGCAACGGCAGAGCTTCAGCAATAGCTACCTGCTGACTTGTTTACTTTCAAGTCCAAGTAGCACATGGCAAATGAAAACAAAGTGAATGAAAGCTGCGCTTTTTAACATGTTCATGAGAGTTGGGTTTGTAATGCTTTAATATTGTGGCAAGATGGTTTAAAGCTTGGAAAGATTGAAAACCTTTATACTAGACAATTCATAAGATTTTTGTGTTTTTTCCTACCAGAAAACCAAAATGTTTGTCTGGAATGCTCATTTAATTACATTTCCATCTAAGGTCAAATAAAACTACAGCCAGATAAATGACTGCCATGTTTTCCAGTATTTCTATCCGTTAAGTACCACTGGAGAATCACTAATGGATGCAGTATTGATCCATTTCCAGGAGGAATGGACATGTTTGAACTCAGTAGTTCTCAGTTTATTAAAAGCAATCAGTATCTCTAAGTGATACTGTAATGTATTGTTGGAAAAATACTCTGAAGGGTATATCTTTCAGCTTCATCGCAATCAGGTGCCTTGGAGAATCCTTCCGGGTAGGTGAAGTGTTTTCAGAGACAAACTGCTGCAGGGTTAAACGAGTCCGCACATGCCAATTTCATTCAAAACCTCTGAACAACCCTTCTGGTAAACTTGCAGAGCACTTGAAAGTTTTTCATGTTGTTCATATGGGACATGATTTGATAGGTACATCACCTGCAAACAACTCACTGAGAACTGAAAATTGTAATAACAGAGCACAGTTTAAATGTAATACTGTAGATTAGACTGAAGCATGGTGAGTTGACAGTACTGAGATTTTTAGGTAAGTATCAGGAGAAGGAGCCAGAACGGTGAATATTTCAGCAGTGTGCTTCCCTAAAAATGATTTGAGCTCTGGTACTATGGTTTTGTTACATCTCTAAATCTCACCATCTGTGCTTGGGTTAACACTGCCTGCCTGAGACCACTCATGCTCTGAAATAATTCTCCAGCAGCAGGAAGGGATTCTATTTTAGCAGTACTCTAGAATAATTATATTAGCAGCCAGTAAGTGAAGTTTGGTAACTTGAGCTGTATATGGGAATTGCCTCCCACCCTGGAATGACTGTGTTTTCAAGTGGGGCTTAACTACTTTCATGATGTTAGGGTTATTTTTGTAATGAAGGCAATCTGTAACTGTGCTATTGTTTTCAGTGCGTTAGATGGAAATCAGTAAGGATATTGGTCATCTATTCTTTTGTTTATAAACATGCAACAAATGCTTTGTAAGGGCACGGCTCTAAAATGCATAAGGCATGTCTCTGACCTGCAGCAATCAAATGGATATCCAGTAGGTGTTGATGACAGCTGGTAACTTGTCCTTAAAGGCAGTATCATAATACTTTGCACTTTGGCTTTTGAATTATACCTAGTAAATGTGTAGCTTGATGCATGCTAGGATCGTACAGGTAAGGACTAAAACATAGCAGAGCGCCTTCCCTAAAGGACTATATTCATTGTATTCATTGGTAGCTTTTGCATTGCCCTTCAACTATTGTATACAAATCTTCCGTGGATTAGGATGCGGCAGACTGCATGAGGAAATGTCAGTCTGACTGGAACTCCAGTTCTCAGGTCAGTTTGAACAGCTCAGCCCATGTAAAACAAATGATAGCAGGACTGGAGGAGTGACAAGCTGAGTAAGCTTGAGCAGGTGTTGCTTTTTTTTTCCCCCCCTGAACATGCAGGAATTGAGGATTGCAATTTTTTGTAGGAAGTAATTCATAACAGTTTTGGTCTCTTTGGCTTTTGAGGAAACAATATTCCTGTGTTGAATCTCTTACACCAAATGTAACCCCCTTGCCCTCGCTTTGAAGGCTCACATAGTGTTCTGTATCATGCCTTGTTTCCTCTGCTCTTTTACATGTGTCATACAAGCCTTTGTCTCATTCTCTTAAATAGTTTCTGGACTCTCTTGCGTAATGCTCCTGTAAATGGAATGCTCTCCTTCATGCGATCTGGTCTTTCATCCTGTGTGTCCTGTTTTATTCCTGCTTATCCCTGAAAAATGGCCTTTTCTGAGATATTTACTCTATATGAGGCAATATTTCTCGATTTCTCTTCATAAACACAAATAATCATTCACTATTTAAAAGGAATAATTGAATGATTGCATTATGGGCTTTTGTCAAGGGAGGATCAGTGACTTTGAAATCCATCCGGTCTGATACTCTCTTATGTGAAGCTAGGATATTTCTTCCGTACAAGTTCTTATATTTCCCTTGTCATTTCAGTATAAAACTACCTCTCAGACAATATTAACTAAAATGATTTCTTTCTTTCATCTGATTTTTTTTTTTTAATCTCTTCCCAGGGAAATGTTAACCACTATTTAAATAACTTGTCTGATTCTCTTGGGTTTTTTCCCCCTCCTCTAGAGGTGCTGACTAAGCATGCTGAAATTTTTGTGAATTAAGCTTCATTGTTGCATATGGATTACTGTGCTGGTGTGGAGTCTCATTCTTGTATTGGTAGATTGTTTTTTCTTTTATTTTCAGTGTTGATTTGAAATTCTATTTTAAGGAATAAATCTTTGTTGTATATTCAGACTTGTTCTTTGATACACAGTGTAGTGTCTGGATTTCTCTGGACTGTACATCAGAGTGTGATTCTTTCAAGATAGTTCTATTCAGTTTTTCTTGAAGGGCTCCCATTCACTATGTAGGCATTGCAGGAAGTGTCTTGCTTTCAGGGTTATGCTGTGAATCTCTGTTGAACAAAACTGAAATGTGTTTGGGAGCTTTTGCTTTCGGGTGAATGATATCTTTCACATCTGGCGTGAGGTTGGAAGACTCGATCTGTTGTTAAAGGTTCCTAATGTTTTTTGAGCAGTTATTTTTGCCAAATGTCCCTGTTTTATCGGTTTGTGATAGTAGCTGAAGGGTAGCTGCATATTGTGGAAAAGCTGCTCTTATCCTCTGCTATAATGTCTTATGTTTCTGGAGCGCAACACGTTGCCTGTAGAACACTCTGGGATGGAAGAGACAACATAAATGTAGGATTACTGCTCTGAGGGAAGAGATGAGCGTTGGTTCAAAGTCTCAACATACGTTCCTATATAGATTGATACTTAGTTCTGTCTGTAGCAAAGACTCAATTAAATCTTTCTGGTAAAGGATTTCAAGCATTTTGAAATACGTGAGAAGAGGCAGGGCTTCCCAGAGTACTGTCTGCATGACAGATTCTTCCTCTGTTTTTAATACTGAATGAGTTTCAGAAGCTAGAACTGCTGAAGATTAAAGAAAGAACGTCTAGCCAATTTTCCACCAACTCTTTTCACTTTGCAGCTTTTAGTTTGACAGATATATTTTTCTTTGCCAAGCTACTTACTCACAAAGTAATGACTCCACGGCATAGTTCTCGTTCTGTTTATCCTCAGTAACCAGTTATATTGCTATTACTCTGAATTGCTTTCAAGGGAGGAGTGGGAATAAGAAGTTAACTGGGATACAGCTAGACAGATCAATGTTTTTCTTTTGTGGGCTCTGTTTATTATTATTATTTTTTCTTTGTCTTGAGGCATCATTTGCAGATTGTGCTTTGGGTTTGCTAACCTGTTTTTTTATCTTAGTCTAAAGACATTCCCAATCTAATCAGGAAGCCTCTTGAGGTGTACCAACTTCGGTTGGGCATTTCTGTAGAGTTTTTCTCATTCTTACTGCGCGTTTACTGCCAAACCTGGTTTAATTATTTGTGCTAAAGATGAATTTAGTCTCAAACTGTAAACTGTCTAGCTCCTTTGGTACCTGTTAAGTAGCTGTTCCGTAGCCTCAACATTTCTGTGCGCCTTTCGGTTAAACATCCAGTGTGATGGCCAAGTGTGAGGTACTGCTTGTTCAGGAATGACTCTCTGAACTTATTGAGAACTTCAACCTGAAAGTTCATCTTGAAGCCCTAGCTATTGTTATTTAATTCATCAAGCCGCTTATACGTTCAAAGAAATTATCCAGACTGTTCCTAATGTAAAGAGCTAAAAGCATGTTAGTCTGAAACTTCTTTCAAATCTGTTGTGTGGCTTTTCCCCCCACTCCATGTTGTCTTGTGATATTTTTTCCTTTTTCCTTGTTCCTTCCAGCTGTTTTTTTCCCCTCTGTATCTTAGTCTTTTCTGCTGTTCTCATTTGGCTGCTTGAAAGAGTGACTAAACAAATAGAATAAAACGTGGAAGGTCCTTGGCCAGATGTTGCCATTGGATATGGATTTCTGTTTTATCGGTATTGATGCCTGAGTGAGAAGTCCAGGATACACAACCATCTGCTCTTCCAATCTCTACAGTAAATGTGGATTTTATTTCCTCTGTTGACCATATGTTTTCCACTGCTGTTGGAACAGTAAAAGGAATTTGAGGCAATTGTGGCCACTTTTGCTGCATTTTGAGCTTTGTAATAGCTGAAAATCTGAGAGGCAAGAAAATACTCATCTGAGGCTTAGGGGAAAAGATACTCTTGTGAACTTTTCCCTCAAATTCTAGTTAAGTAAGTCTTCAGAACCCCTCAAAATTTCTTTGCATATATTTTTATATATATTTATATGTATAGGTTGAGTTAGGAGACATTTGGAAGGAGGACACATGGTGAGGAACTGTTCAATTTACTTTAATGTGAGAGTTCGTATGTGAAGCAG